CCTCTGCCCTCCCACCGTGCCTTGGAGCCAGCTGATTATGGACTGAAACCTCTACAAACTATAAAGTAAACAAAATGCCCTCATCTAACTTTAAGTGTTAGGTATTTTGTCTCAGCAACAAGAAAAAGTAACTGAAACAGATACTGATCAGAAAGAATGGGATTCTATAAGTTGGAATGGAGATGTTTGGGAGGAATTTGACAAGAGTGGGAACATTGCATTCCTAAATTCTGATGAAATTATTTTGCCAGAGGACAAGATTTCCCAACCTGCAGTGGCAGGTCATACATCAATTGCGACTGGCTACCAAATGGGCAGCCACTCAACAGTGATTACTTTCATATGGACAGAGAAACCAGGGAGAGGCAGCGTCTGAGTTTTGGGTTTTTTTTTTAACATAGGAGACTCTTGCTTCATGCAGCCCTAAAGACAAGTTGCATTGCTGGCCTGAGAGTCTGTGAGAACCTTATCCCATCCCCACTTCATTGCCTCTCTCCCTCTGCGGCCCACATATTTAGGGTGGTGAGCATCCAGGTTCATACACTTTGACCCTCCTCTCCTTAGACACTCTTGTTTTGATCAAGAATGGGCGACGATGAGGCCATGTCTGAGTGAACTTGGAAGTGAAACTATGCTTGTTCCCAACTGTTATGGTTTAGATCTAAAATATTCCCCTCCCCAAAGCTTCATGTGTTTGGCAGTAGGCCCTGACTGGAAGAAGCAGCTCCCTGGGACTATGAGGTCCATCAAATTGGAGGGCCCACTCTAGGAACCAAATTGTGCCCGGTTCCTCCTTTTGTTTTCTCTTTGCTGCTTGACTGCATGGCGTGAGCAGCTCCCCTCCACCAGGCTCTTCTGCCATGCCACTTCTGCCTTGGACCAGCTCACCATGGACTGAACCAGTTGAAACTATAAGTCCAATAAACCTCTCGAGCTTTTAAATTATAGGTGTTAGATATTCTGTCCCAGGGATAGGAAGGCTGAGTTATTCAAAGATTTTAGTACCAAGAGTAGTTTAGAGAAATTGAATTAAAAGGGTGAATTTCTCTAATAGGCTTTTGGTTCCTGGATTACCCCTCTAATTTGATGAGAACTAAAATTGCCGTGGTCTCTCTTTCTGATAACATAGTCAGTACTGATAGTCCATGATGTGAACTATTAAAAAGAAAAGAATTAGTATGATATGAACTGGTTAGAGTAGTATGCAACATAGAATCTATTAATTACCTTAATTCAACACTTTGAGATGCAGTTCGCCACTTTAGTGATGACAATACTTTTGAACATTTTTGGAAGAATAAGAACTATCATGATGCTGGTTGGTTGCTCTTAGCATTTCTGGACAAATTACTAAAGGAAAAGCATGAGCTCCAGGCATGCACAAACAAGCAAAAGCTGTCCAAGGAAGGAAAACCTTCTCTCCCTTAGCCATAGGCTGATGCTGCTGAAAACCAAGCCCAAACCCCCTAACATGATTGGCTGAATTACAGCACAAGCCTGGTGCCCAGCCCTGAGAGGGCATTGATCAGAAATAATGGGATCCTGGAATGGAGACATTTGAGAGGCACACAACAAAGCTGAGAATATTGAATTCCTCAATTCTGATGAAATTATTTTCCCAGTGGAAGAGATTTCTCAACGTTTGGTGGCAGGTCATACATCAATTGAGACTGGCTACCAAACGGGCAGCAACTCAACAGTGATTATTTTCATCTGGACAGAGAAACCGGGGAGGCAGCTTTCTGGGGTTTTCCTCCCCCTTCTAGACTACTCTAGATCACGGAATGTCCCGTGATTCCTGAGGACCGGGTTCTCTGAGACATTCTCCTCCCGTCCTCACTGAAGTTTTCTAACATGTTTCTCCTGTCCCTTTTGTAAGCTGACCTGGGCTTTTGTCATGTGGAACCAAAATGGCGCCAGGAGGTGGGGACGTGCTCTGGGGAAGGAGCAAGGGCGTGTCAAGGGGACTCTTCTCTGTTCATATCCTGCCTCCCCTTTCCACACCACGCATGGCCTCAGGTCACTGTAGTTGGTCAGCGGTGGCAGCTCTCGGAGAGGCCCCTGGTGCTCCGTAGGCTAACCCCAGTGCCAGGCCGCACCACGTCTGAAGGAGGCTCCTAGACAGACAGCAGGAGGACAGGAGGCAGGAAATGGTAAACACCTGCTGCTGAGAACGTGAGAATAGACTCCTGGTGGGCTGCGGGGTTTACATCTAGAATGTTCCCCAGAAGGCTCGTATGGGCTTTTGGAAAGTGCCTGGATCATGGATGCTTTGGGGGAGTTTAGAGCTGAATCTGCTGTGAGGACACCGGGTCTGGACAGAAGAGCGGGCCCCAGGGGTGTGGTGTATAAGGCCACATCTCCCGTCCTGGCTCCTCCCTTCTCTCTCTGCTTCCTGGCTGCCAGGAAGTGAGGCGCTCTCCTCCACCAGACCCTTCTGCCCTGCCCCGCCTGCCTTGAAGACCATAGACTGAATCTTCTAAAACAAACCAAACTGCACCTCTCCTCGGGCACTGCGTCTCGGAAAGGGACTAAGCTATGTTTCCTGTTCCCTTCATGTCCAAGTTCTTGGTGCTGAAACCTTCACTATAGAACTTCCTCCCAAGCCCCCCTTTGTTAGTCTTCTCCCTGGCTGTCTCTTTCTGCCTGCTGCCAAAGAAATCTTCGGGATATGTGGTTATGCTCCTGGAGAAAGGCATAATTAAAAGTGTGCTAACTCATTCTGTGTGTGTGTGTGTGTGTGTGTGTGTGTGTGTGTGTGTGTGTGGTGTATTGTATCGTTGGGGACCACAAATTATAAGTTGCCATAGAATCTGTCAGAGGCCCCCCTGCCCCGCCTTGTGGCCAGTTTTGGAATGCAGAAATCCCTCTTCCTCTTGGTCCAGGAGGTGGTGGCACTCCTAGGAAATCTGCTGAGGACCACACAAGGAGAACTAGTGCCCAGGAGTGGGGATGAATCTGAGCTTGTTTCCTTTATGATGCAAAACCTGCCCGTTCAGCCACTACTTCTGGGCTGTTCCAAGGGAAGCATCATCCTCTCTCCTGCACTAAAATGGAGGCCAGAGAATAAAATAGTGACCAGCTGGGGACTCTGGGACTTTGTTCCCAGAGAACATTGCTGTCCCAGAGCCCTGTGTTTTGCAATTTGTGTGTCTTTTATTTCTGACTTGTTTGTTTGTTTGTTTGTTTGTCTGTTTTACCCCCTCCAGGAAGGAGATGAGGACTCACTGCAGGGGTCCCTGATAACTGGTGCTGTGGAAAGGCCTCCCAGAGTGTGGGACTGCAGGATGGAAACAAGCCAGGAGGCCTAGAGACCTTCAGCTCTGGGATCCAAAAACTTAACGCTCACTTCCAAAGGAGTAGCTGGTTGCTTGAGAGAAGCTGATTTGTTGGGCTATTGCTGTCCCTCAGAGATGGGTAAAAAACTGCCTAATTTATTATGATCAAAGGATTTCTAATAGGAACAAATGGGGCGATGTTTTCAATGTGGGTGTAGCTTTCTGATTCCATCAGAGACTTATTTGTCTGTTTGCTGTGTGATATCTTCATACTGACATAGACACTGTCCTTCTGTACCTTTTTTCTCTGTTGCTAGCCACATTGGTCTTTGCAACGGCCCCCACAGGACATGTGGAAACGTTTCTCAGTCCTTCCCTCCTTCCCCCAGCATGAGCCCTTGCCCAGTGGAGGGACCCAGCATGCCATCATCCTCCTCAGGTTGGGGAAAGACCAGCTAGAATTCCACCGTTGGACTGGAGGTGCCCCCACTGGGGCTCCGCGCCTGGAAAAGATGAGGTGTAGGAACCTCTCCCAGAAGGTCCTCTGACCCCTGGCCAACCTTCTTGAGTGGTATCAAGTTCTGAGCTCACCCTAAGTTTCTTCACTTCCAGATTCACGTTGCCCTCTTCCAGAACTTTCCTTGCCATTTTCCAGGACTTTCCCCAGAGTTCTTGAGAAAGATTTTCCCTGCAGGTGAGTGTTCCCTTAGCGAAAGGCCTGGCCAGTGCTACCCGTGATTTCCCGATCAATGAGTTGTCCTGAAGAAGGTTCTGGATAAAGTTTCACAGCATGCTGCACCTGAGCCCTGAAGCCCAGCCACCCACTCCTGGGAGGTGCTGATAAAAATTGGGAGCCGCAGTCACCAGAAATATTTCCACTTCCTTTTTCTCCTTCCATAAACCCAACCCTAGACTCACTGTCCTCACTGTGAGAGTCAGATGACAGTCAGGGTGAGAAGCCCCATTGCCAACAGCCTGAGGGAGATGATTCCAGAACAGACCCATTTATGTGACTCACCACAATCAATTTTTTCATGCCAGCATCACACAGATCAATAACTCCTTCTACACAAAACCACCTCCAGTGGGAATTCCTCGAGTGTTTACAGCCACGGATGTCTCCCCGGGGGCAGAGGGAAAGGGAGAGCAAAATCAAAAACCCAGTGAAAGCCCGTGGCTCGGTAACCTCCAAACAGCTCACCCTGAGCCAACCCCTTCCCCAATTCATGGGGGGAGGCGGGGTAGCCCAATGGTTTGATAATGTAAATGTCAAACTCAGAGACTTGGGTAAGAATCTTGGGTTTGCTTCTGTGTAGTCTGGGACAAATGCCCCATGTTTGTCTTAGTTTTCTCCTAGAAAAATGGGGACAACAACGGCTCCCTCATGGGATGACGGTGAGGATGATGATGCTCCCGCTCCCTCTGGCTGCACACTGTACTCTGTAAATTATGCCTGTCATTATTTCTAACAAGCAGCTCCCTCCCCAGCGATTGGTTTCTCCTAGTCAGTTTGCAAACACATCTCCTTGCCCAGGCTCACTCATAGATATGCATGGAAACCAGTCAGGCCACAGTTGGATCAAATCTCCACGCCCTGCGGGACACTTCCTCCCCTGGGACCCCTTGTCCTCTGGGCCCCCTCCTCCATGTCACTTCCACAAATTCTCCTTTCTGCCCTGGACACTGGGTGACAAGACTCCCAGACCCCGCACCACCCCCTACCTGAGGGCCGCAAAACAATCTAGGTCCTGGGGTTTGGGGGAAGAAGACTTGCCAGGTGGGAAAGTCGGGGGCCTGGCTTCTTGGCGGCTCCTCTCCCCCTTCGGGGGCTCTTCCGCTCCCCTTTTTCTCATTCTCGGGCTTCCCCTCTCCGGGTTGCTCAGGCAGCCGCATCGGGGGTCCAGGGCGATGTTCTCAGAGAGATTGGGGAGCACATCAGAGGGACATCAGCGAAGACTCAGACTCTGCAAGGAGGGCACAGAAACTTACTAGCGACCGTGCTGGGGGAGGGTTTGCTCAAAGCCACCCCTGAATAATTCACAGCCGCCTGTCCATGTTTACACAGGACACAGGCAGAGGCTCCAGCAGAATTACAGTTGTGACAGATGTTTAGTTATTAATAAGGCCTCAGCGTCACCGGAGGCTGTCACACAGCAGACCAGCCCCATCTTCACAGGTTCTTTTCCACTCACTGCCCCTCGGGCTGTGCTGGAGTGGCGGCAACAGGAGAGAGCTAGAGCAGCTGCCAGCTTAAGGAAGCCCAGCACTGTGCCAGCAGAATTTGTTTCTTGCCACTGACATCAAGGGAGCCGCAGACACAGAGCGAGAGACAGAGCCGGAAATAGCTACCGATGGGGAAAACCATGCCACGGCCCCTGAGCTCGTGACTCACACCCAAAACCCCAGGGCAAACCCAAGGCACAGCAGATCCTGAGAGGATGTGGGGAAACAGAAACCCTTCTGCAGGGCTGGTGGGTGCGTAAACTGTGGAAGTCAATGTGGAGATTCTTCACAAAGCAGGAATTCCATTCGACCAAGCTATATCCTTCAGAGAATCTTCCAGAAAGAGTTACAGTCATCATATCGCAGTGATCCATGCCTATCCATGTTTATAGAAGCATAATTCATAACAGCTAACTCTCAGAAGCAGCTTACATGCTTATCAACCGATGAACGGATAAAGAAAATGTGGTATCTATACACAATGGAATATTACTCTGCCATGAATGAAAATAATTGAATCATTTATAGGAAAATGGATGCACCTTGAAATCATAACACTATAGAAATAATTTAAAGAGCAAGGTAAAGAGGGTAGAAAACAGGGAGGTGGACTGTGATGATATAAGAAGGAAATCGAGGATGGAGGGGGACGGGAGAGAGGGGAGATGGCAGGGTGGTCAGAGGATCAGGAAGCAATGTGTATTCATCATGTATCAAACACATTTTTAAAAATGTAATCAAGCCGGGGCCCCATCGTCCTAACTTCCTCAGGTGATGCAAGGGTCATCCAAGAACAGCAGCCCGTTACCAGCTCCCTGCAGACCATGCCCACTGGGCACCCAGGTCCCAGGCAGCTGCTGACTTCCGGGTGTGTCTTGTGACCCAGCTCAGCCATCGCCTCCCCTGAAAAACCGTCCTTGACCTGGGCCTGTCCTTCGGATGGGACCCTCATCTGTGCCTGTGTGTCCTCATGCTTGTCCCCAGGCTGTCCCCTCCTGCCCAATACTTCCCTGAGGAAAAACTCTAGGCAGAGAGTAATTCAGATGCCCAAGCACTCCATAGATATTGGACGTAGTATTATTATATTGAAAGCAATATTAGTTCTCTTGGGTTCTATACTGAAGTTAAAAATAATAATGATGATAATAAAAAAATCTCCAGGAACATGAAGTTCAGAGAGTGTAACAGAGAATATAGATGATACCAAAGGAGCCCAGGTCACCATGGACATGGGGAGGTCTACACAGCGTGGGCCACATTGGCCTCTCCCAGCCATGGGAAGGCAAGTTTCCACTTCCCAAGCTTAAATGTTGCTTCCTGCTGAGGTCCAAATGTTGCTTCCTGAAAAGCATCCTCCTGTGCTCCTTCCAGCCTCTGGATTCTGACAAGTGTGTGTGTCCATGCTGGGATGTGGTTCCTGAAGAAACCAGACACAGGGGAATAGATGACACTTAAAAGCTGAAGCTGAAGACTTGAAGACTGTGTGCAGACACTGTGGTGTTAATTTAGTCTCGTAAACCTGTGTACACCACACCCATGGATATCAGCCCTCTCCACATCATTGAGACAGGTGCAGCCCAAAGCCCTGTGTGTAACATGGGTCCCTTCTCGGGTTCATGAAAAGTAACAAACACTGGCTGAGTCCTTTGAAATTTCACCTTGATCAGAAAGCCCCAGGGCCCAGGGGCTCTGGGAACACTACTGTGGTCTGACCTTTAAAGTATCCGGTTCCTTAAGGAATGTGGGAGAGATTGGGCCAACCTGATAAGAAAGGATAGATCCCCTATGACTGGGCCAGAACATCAGAGGGTGAGACCTCAGGGACACCTATAGATGGAAAGCTTCTCAAAGCCACAGTCTTTCCAAACAATGTATGCATGACTGTACACACACAGACACACACACACCACAGCACTACTTAAGACCCACCCTGGACAACTGCAGCCTCCAGGTGACACAGGCTGAGCTCAGCCCCCCCTCGACTGCACACACAGGGGCTCCCCCTGCCACACCCACACAGCTGCACACAGCTGCACACTCTGTTCCCACTCTGTTCCCTCTGGCCCAGCCGCGTCTGCTGTGCTTCCCCACGCAGTGACTCGCACCCACACGCCCTGGGCGCCCTGCTCCCCACACATGCTGCACACACGTGTGCAATTTCTGTCTCCTTTCATCATCTCATAAGTTAAACAGGAGGAACAAGTTTCCTGTGTCATTACAGTAGAAATTTTTTAAAAAGTGACATTTTATTTTCAGATATGCTTTTAGTTGCCATGGCGACCCCAGCACCATGAAAGTTGTGATCAGTGGCAAATGCAGATTTCCAAAGACAGTAATTAACTCTGTAGGTAAGAACGTGTGACCATGAAGCGCCTCATCCCTTGCAAGCTCCCTGGACGCAGTGGACACCAGGGCAGGGCACCCACGTCCTCTGAGTTGCTGCGCCAGCCCTGGGGCTCTGAGGCGCTCTCTGCAAGGGTGCCCAAGCTCCAGGCCCAGAGAGCAGGACCCAATCCACTTAATTACTTGGAACTTGCCCAGCATCCCAAGGAACCAAGCTCTGGAGCAGTTGTCCAGCCACTCTCAGCTGGCCTCTGGCAACCTTCACTGCAACCAGTGACTGTGCCAGAGAAACAGCCAGGAAGCCAAAAATGGAGTGGGCTCCTCTGGCCCGAAGCCATCTCACCAGATCCCTGCTGCCTGGAGCAGGAATGGGGGAGTCCAGGCTGCCCTTCATGAGCTAGAGCCCAGTGCTGGCAATCTGGGTAGATGGACCTGCATTTCCCCTACTCACCCAGAACCTTCACAAAGAAAGAACCTCCTGGTCAGGGGTGGTGCTGCACACCTCACCCCTGTCATCCCAGCACTCTGGGAGGCCGAGGCAGGAAGATTCCAAATTCAAGTCCAGCCTGGGCAACTTAGTGAGTTACCAAGACCCCTTCTCAAAATAAGAAGGCCTGAGGATATAGCTCGGGGCAAAGATCCTGGGTTTAATACAAAAAACCTCTGTGTCCCCCCACGGCCTCATGTACCTAGGGGCCACTGAAAGTGGCTCTTTGTCCCCAATTAACCGATGGCCTCATTTCCTGACAAACGTCCTAGGAGCAGTTGATTCCCCATGGTGTCCTCCAAGTCCATTTGCCAATTGCTTCTATTTCCATCACCTCCACAGTCAGCCAGGAGCTGGGTTTAGAGCCCAAATCCTGACCTTAGAGCTGCGGACTGATCCCTGGGCACACGCTAGTGTCCTCTGCCCCACCCACTGTTTTCACCACCCAAAATGTCCCTTGAGCCCTAGCCTGAGCTCTAGGGCAGAGACCAGTGGGTGTCTACACAAAGAGCAATGCCCATCACTTTACCAGCCCGTGAAATACAAAGATCCATAAAGAGCATGACAAACCAAATCACACCAGGTAATTCAGATTCTGGGTCTGCCACCTACAGGCTGTGTGATCCTGAGCAAGTTACTCAGCATCTCTGTGGTTCAGTTCTGGCACCTGCAAAAGGGTCCTGGATTTTATCACAGTCCCTGAAGGGTGTGCAAAGGGCTTGACAGAAAGCAGGAGCAGTGCATGCCAGCCGCCACTATTCCTTCTTCCCTTGGCACCTAGCAGGCGAAGCTCAGCACCCAGGCTGCTCAGATGGGTCCTAATCTGAATTCCGAGGGGACAGGGTGGGAGTGACATTTTAGTTTCACATCTGCAAGCTCGGACGATGCCAGTGCCCAGAAAACAGAGGCAGGCTGTACCGGCCTTTCGGTCTCAAGGGCCAGCTGGTCCCTGAAGGCTTCCAACAGAGGAGCTCTGACCCTCCCTCTGCTCCACCAAATTTGTTCTTAGATGGATTCTGCACCCTGGACACTTGGAGTGGACAGCCACCCTGGTCATCTCAGCATCAGTGGCCCGAGCGTCCATCCGGGCTCAGGGCCAGTTCCACCAGCTGCTGTCCCTTTGGGAACATCTAAAATCACAGTCAGAGCGAGCTGAAAATCCATTGTTTGAGACTGGCGCTGGGGCCTGCGTTGCTTCGGGCTGTAAATGAGTCATACACACAGCAAGGATGGCTTGGGTTAGCTTCTGGGAAGCCCGAGACAGGGTTTTCCAGACAGACACAAGTTCAGATGTTCAGTAAGAACCTCTCCTCCATTCCTGCACCCCAGGCAGCAAGCGACAGTCTTCTGGGTCCTGCTGTTTCCTGCTAGCTTTTATCGTTGCTCAGGGCCACGTTACACAGGAAGTTTTGCTTTGCATTGTTAGTGCCTGTTAATTCTACAGACTATTGTGTTATTACCTGTATATTTTAATCATAGCCACCCCTCATCACCCTCCCCTGTACCTCTCCTTCCCTTCATGTCATCTTCTTCAGATTCTGTGTTAGGGAAAACATGAAATATTCATGTTTCTGAGTCTGGCTTATTTTGCTCAGTGTGATGGTTTCCGGATCCATCTGTTTCCCTACAAATGACAAAATTTCAGTCTTCTTTACGGCTGAATAATACTCCATTGTGCATTGATAGCACACAGACCACTTGCTGGTGGTCGCTGAGGCTGCTTTCTCTCCCCAGTCATGAACTGTGCCACAATACACATGCCTGTGGGGGTCCCGGAGGAATGCCGGCTTTGATTCCTGCAGGTAAATTCCAAGGAGCAGTGTAGCTGGATCAAATGGGAGCTCCAGTTTTAGTTGCTTGAGGGACCTCCACAGTGAGGGGACACTGTAATTGTCACAGAGGAAGGCCTGG